GTAGCACTCATAATTCTTATTCTCATGTATATATCTCATGTATATCCCATGCACATATCTTTCTTTCTACATAGCACTTTAATTCTTATTGTTTGCACTGAAGCACCGCAGCAATTTCCTAATGTTGTAAACCTCAACATCTGGCAAAAAACCCCATTCTGATTCTGATTCTGATTCTGAGTAGTACTGCTTTAAGGACCTGTCACTTGTCATCCACATGTTAAAAATATCATTGTGGGTAACCTCCACTGTGTTTAGGCTTTGCTTTTTCAAACAAAAAGGTCAACAGTTTAATTTCCACTCTAAACCTATCTAGATAACAACTTTTTGTCCACATCAGCAACAAATCTGGTGCCCCGAAGCAAAATGTATACTCGAGATTTGTCCAAAGCATACAAATAAGTTAAAAAAAAGCAGTTTTAAACTTAAAGAATGCTTTTAATCTGCACGCACTAGTATATTAATTCCGTACTGTATTAATTTGGTGAAGACACGATCCATAATTGTGTTTATAAGAACAAACCTGCAGACAGAGATGGAGTTCTCTGATCTTCTCGTAGCGTGCAGGTCCCCCTCTCTCCTCTAGCCAATATCAAAAGCAGCCCTCTTCTTGTTTATCTTTAGTGGTATTGTCCTTGTTTATCTGCGGCTAAAAGCCACAGTTCAAGGCTCTGCAGAGATTATTAGAGAACCTCATTCTGTTTCATCTGTATCTGCTCCTCTATCTGTCTCTTTCTTTTATCTCCTGCTCTCTTCTTTTGTCCACCGGCTAGATTGGGTAGTTGAGAGGCAGGTAGATAAGGGGTGAAGTAGCCACCTGCGTCCTCAATCGCACACACCCCACACACAAAAACACACACATAATTCCGATTTTTGGCAGGGCTACCTGTAAGCTAATTTGTATCCCTATCTGTGTAGCCTGGAGGAAAATGCAAATGGAAAGGTTGAGTGTGTGTAGCTTTTTGTTGTTGTTGTTTTTTACTGTATCTGCGTTTTCAGGATTTCATGTCCCTGATTTGTGTATTTTTTGGCAGTAGTCTGACGAGGACAGTCGAGTTCCCTGGTGACCGTGGGCCCCTGGGTATACACGTGGTCCCATACTGCTCCTCGCTCAATGGACGGTAAGCTCACATAAACGCTCTCTTCTCCACATCCTCTCATAATCACGCAGGCAGGCGCAAAGAAAGGCAGATGGCAATGTTGACTCATAAGAATGCAGAAGTTACTCGAATGTTGCCATGCAGTCATGTGTGTTTACCTCAGTGATTTCATATTGACTCCATACTGTATTTGTCGCAAGACCCCTTGGCCTCCACATTAAAGGCATCGAGGAAAACAGTCGGTCCAAGAAGGAGAATCTCTTCAAGGAGGACGAGTGCATCGTCCAAATCAATGATACACCACTGCAGGACAAGACCTTTGCGCAGTAAGTAGGCCAGTGTGTGTGGGAGTGCAGTTTTTCAACACAGAAACCAAAATCAAAGCTAATATTTGATCTGAAACATGTACAGTGTATTCGATTTACTTAATAGTTTCAGCATGCAACCTATGTTTCATGCATGGGGATATGTTCTTAATAAAATAAACAGATTAACATCTTACAGGCAACACTGCTCAACGTGTAATGGCCTGCTCAGGTTGAGTGTCTGCAGGATGCGCCACAACACGTCCAAGCCCCCATGCATCCATTCACAGAACTCAATGAGATCCTGGTGCCAGACACTAAAAGACGACCCTAGCGGGCTCATATCCCCCTCAGTGCGTCTGTTCTGGTCGCATGAGGATGTTTAATGTCATGGCTGAGCTTTTAACAGACATGGGAAATGGAGAGAAGCAAGGTTGAAATGGTTTGGACATGTGCAGAGGAGGGAGAGTGAATATAGTGAGCAAAGGATGTTAAATGTGGAGCTGGATGGCAGGGAGAAAAGAGGAAGACCACAGAGGAGATTCATGGATGTAGTGAAGGAGGACACGTAGAGGGGTTGGTGTGACCGGAGGATGCTTGAGGTGAGCTAGAGGCAGATGTTCTGCTGTGGTAATGGGGGGGTCGTCAGATGTCGTCTTTTTGGAGGAAAGAGTTAAAGGATTTGCATCAGCCGCTCCAGAAATGTGTTTTTAGCCACCTTGAAGACGTTGGTTGCCACCAGGTGGGAATTGCATTACTTGCTTAGACGGTGACAATGGTTGCTCGCGTTTGTTGATGTTGCTTATCTTTAGCTCTCCTCTGAGAATATCCACAGGGCTAAAGGAGACGTAATTAAACCGTGGACCCAGACTGTGGAGGATCTTAAAAGCTTACTGAACTGAGCAGCTCCCCCTTTCCCATTTGTTTCCCCTCATCTATGTTTCCCTTTCTTTCTCCATTCTTCTTCTTCCGGACCTGGCTCCTGTGAGTTTTTTGTTTGCTGTTTGCTTAATCCGTCCTTATGCGCTTTGGTTTTGCTGATTGTCTGATTATTCTTTTGTTCAAATGGCAAAAATAAGTGTTCCAGGTGATTCCATTTGGCAGAAGATTGTAACCTTGTTGCTAGGAAAAGACGAAAAGATTTGAAAATTATTTGTTAACATCATCCAAATTGGATCTGAGGCGGATCGGCTTATCCTGACACAACCCAAGACATGTGGTGTATATGTGTGCGTGTCAGGGATGTGATGAGGAACTAAAAACGTAAAAGCAAAAAAAAGTGTGTGTGTGTGTGTACTCCCACTCATCCTGTCACCACTATAACGCTGTAGAAATACCCCACCTGTCACTCACTTTGCTTCCTTTATTAACCAGACAAATCCTTCACATTCTCTGCTCTATCCTATCTCACACCACATCTGCTCTACCGATGGCGTATTTTTTTGTCTCTGTATTATTCAATTTTTTTTTTCTCATGTTTTCAGCGCACACACTTCAAACTCCTGTCCGTGTCCTTTCTGGGTTTTTTTCCCCCGTCCTATATCTCTTTCTGAATGGGTCAATTTAACTGCATCTCACTCTGTTCTCTGTTTTGTATGAATGTGGGGCTGATAGTGGTCTATTAAAGCTGGAATAGGATCCTGCTTCAAGGTCTCACCATCTGATAGGGACCACAGTGTCCCAAGCCAGCTGGAGGAGTCACTGTTGTTAATCCAAACTATAATACAGCCCTTTAGTGAAGCACAAGCCTCATTCACCCTCTCCTTCTTTGCTTTCCAATTCTGTGTTCTCTTTCTTTCTGTGTTCAGCCTCACTTTTGAGTTCTCCTTTGTTGGTTTACAGGTTTGTAATGTTCCACAAAGCAAAGAGAGCGATTAAAGTCGTCATCTTGTTTTTTTTACTTTTCCTAAATTATCCTTGTCTCCCTCTCTAGGTCTCAGGAAGTGTTCCGCCAAGCTATGGGCTTGCCTTCAGTGCATGTGGAGGTTCTTCCTGTAGCCAACAAGTCACGCTATGAGAAAAGCTTCATAGGTCAGCTTTTCACCAGCGACAGCAAAGACTCGTCTACCAAAGGCAGTCCAGTGGTGACGCGCACTAGAGCCGACCCCAAGCCAGAACTCAAACCAGAACTCAAGCCAGAACCCAAACCAGAACCTAAAATGAACACCAGGACAGATATGAGGCGACCAGACGCACACACGAAGACCCCAGAGCCAACTCTGGTAAACTCACAACCGGTGGAGTCTGTTCAGTCTGTGTACGGCTCTTTAGAGAGAGCGTCTCCCACGTCCACAGCCAGGGCTGCGAGCTCGTCTCCAACAACTTGGCCCCGCAGTGAGAGCCCGCTGGCCAGTAGGAGTCCTGCTGCGGCCAACATGTCTAACCTCACAGGAAGGAAGGGTGGCAAGAAGATGAAAATTGACTTGAAGAAAGGTAAATTTCTTATATACATGTGTTGTATTCACTGATGATCATCATGTTCCATCATTAAGTTTTTTTTCTCTCTCTCCCCCATCACCCCCAACCGGTCGTGGCAAATGCCGCCCCCCCTGAGCCTGGTTCTAAGGTTTCTTCCTGTTAAAAGGGAGTTTTTCCTTCCTACTGTCGCCAAAGTGCAATTTTGTTGGGTTTTTTTCTTTACCAGGCAATATAAAGCCCTTTGAGGTGACTGTTGTTGTCAATTAGTGCTGTATGCATTGAATTGAATTAAGCTAAGGATGTTATGTTTCTCCAAATCCATGGTGTATAAGCAACTCCTTGATTATTTGAATTAGGTCCTTATTGTAAATATCTGATTGAAGTGCAGACTTTCAGCTTTAATTCAAGAGGTTTTATAAATAATTTTGCAGTAACTGAGCAGGAATTACATAAACTTTTATATACACAGCCCCCATTTTCAGAAGCTTCAAATTAGTTGGACATTTAATTGACAAGCAGTTTCATATCCAGCTGAGACCTGTTGTTTTGCTACTTCATGACAAATGAAGCAAATGTGAATCTGAAGTTGAATTTGTAATTTATAGCTTTCACTCTAATTTTAAGGATGAGCTTTAAACAGATGTCTGTGTATGTGAGGTCACTTAACACCCGTCTTCGGGCTGAAACACCAAAATAAACCAGACAACCAAATCTTAGTTGACTAAATCAGCTATCTGGTTCATTCTTAGAAAGGACGAATACGTCAGTTCAGCAACACTTAAATGGTGAAAAAAATGAATAAATCATCATCTAACCAAGTCAAGACCAAGAACACGTATCATTGTCGAGGTCTACACTCAACTGATGCCTTCATGAATGGGAATAAAGAGGTTTTACAGCCAGATTAAACTTTGCCCAAAAATTGTGAGCTGTGTATAAAAAACGATGCTGCAGGTGGTGCAAAGAGGCAAATTATGATCTCTGTCTAACAAATTATGGACCAGACTGTTAACTATGTATTTCTCAACAAAGTTGAACCCACAGCTCAGCAGTGTCTCAGACAGCTACAGCGATTCAGCAATCCCTCCGTTTCTCTGCTCCTCACTGATGTTGAGCTGTTGCACTTCATGCGACTTGAAGTTTTCTTATCTTAAAATGGCCTTTCCACAGCTCTGTTAGCAACCTAACGAGTCCATCAGCAGTAGCAGCAAAGTTGAGAGGTAACAGCTCATGGGAAGATGGATCCTTGACTGACGACCGCTTCTTTTGTATTGTGGATTCAGAGCCACTGGACCCCTGTGAAAGACTCTGACTCAGTGTTTTTGTTCAGGATTTCTCAGGCTCTGCTACATTGATACTATTCATTATTTGGCCTCCATCTTCACAAGTGCAGTACAAAAATACTGGAGTTTTTCCATTTATTTTGCCATTGCATTCTCCTTTTAAGGACTCTTGACTGCTCGTGCGCTTTTTTTTTTTAAGCTTTTATTCTCCAGATTTGTTAAAGTCAAAGCGGCTCACTTAGCCCTGGATGTTGTTCTCACCAGTGACACAATTGATTGATTTTTATCACATTCAGACTCCAATAAAATTGCCGTCCACTGTGGTTAGCTTTAATATTTCACTATGAAGATATTTTTCATTTTTCCAATTCCTCAATAATGACTCAGAGCTGTCTAGTTGTTACGCCCGTAGGTTTAAACCTAGACTGACTCAGTCTGGCATCTCAGGCACCTCATCTCTTATCCCTCAGTGCTGAAGTGTTGATAGCATGGGAATGGGTTCTTAAGACTGTGAATAGGGTCTGTTCTAGCAACCTGTAGTGTTACGGGGCAGTGAAAAGATAGCTGTAATTGGGCTACATGCACACACACACACACACACACACACGTGTGGTATCCAGAAAAAAAGGCAAGACATCCAGATGAAAGGATAGAAGAAATTGGGCCTCACATTTTCCAGCTCAAAGCCCATTCACGACTGTTTTATTGTTAGTTTCTTCGTTTTTCCATCACACTTTTCTTCCCCATTTCTCTTCACCCTCTTTTTGTTAGATTTTTTTTTTTTCTTCCCTGGCTTCCCCGTCTATCCCTTTCACCTGATGCAAGATCAGAGCAGAGGATATTATGGGGTTTCTAACACCCTCTCCCTCGGCAACAGGCTCCTTCTCTCCGTGATTGACAGGCGGTGAGGTTTAGGTGCGCTAATGTAGGGCAGGCAGAGGCTTAGCTCAGAGACCAGATAGCATCGCTCACCGCCTTTAGTATGCCACGGCGGCTTTGCTCTCCCCACACACACACACACACACACACACACACACACACACACACACACACACACACACACACACACAGAGTGTGGCACATTTCACTCATGGCTTGGGGCTTGTGAGGCCGTGAAAAAGGGAGAGGGCGGAGGCTCTGGGGGATGATGGTTCATGCATGTGTGTGTGGGCTCAGAAAACACACACACACACTTGTAAATGAATACACACAAAGTAAATGTAGGCTCAAAAGCACAAGGAAAATCTTTGTGGAAATCACATTGCAACCCCTGGGGAGAAAGCTAGAGAAGGGAATAATATCTCTCTGGTTTTTCTCTGCTCGTCACTCTTTTTTTTTTCCTCCACCTCCACCTTCGTTCCATCTTCTTCCTCTACCTCCCTTCATCAGCCACCGTTCGGCCTGCTCACACGTGAAATTAAAGACAGAGTCTGTCTAATCCGGCTAGGAGAGAAGCCGGCTCCCGGGGGCTCAGAGGCTGAGCCAGGCAACTAACCCCCATAGGGAAACAGGCACTTAAACAGTAGTTAATGGGGAGAAGACGCAGACTGCAGACAGAGTTCAGGAGAGGAAGAGAGGGGAGAAAACTTGGAGAAGGAGAAAAGTGAAAGACTGGGATGATGAGAGGGAAATTCAATCAAAATGAAATTAAAAAGTCATAAAATTTGTAATTAAGTCTCATTTTCAGGAGCAGAGACATCCCCCGTGCACAGTGTGACTCATGTTGCCTCGTTCCCACAGGCTCAGAGGGTCTGGGTTTCACCGTGGTAACAAGGGATTCATCTGTCCAAGGGCCGGGGCCCATCTTGGTGAAGAGCATTTTGTCGCGAGGTGCAGCAGTGAAGGATGGACGCCTACAGCCAGGAGACCGCATCCTGGAGGTAAAACACAGGTTTTTATGAAGATCATCCAATGTGTGCGAAGTAGAGCCGAGACCTGTCGTTATCAGCAGGAAGTTTAACTCTCTGGATCACACGGTGTGCAACGTGTACTCAGGGTGAGCCTGCTCTCACCTGTGGAAAACACACCTGCCAATTCTGGTATCTTATAGCAAATGCCAGTTGCCGGGCAGTGAGCGCAAGGCCCATTAGGATATTTTGGTCCCTGATACTGATTGTTTGGTCAGAGACATTCACACCAGCATCCCATCCGAGGTCATTTTGTAGCTCTAGCAGTGCTCATCCTGTTCCTCCTTACACAAAGGAGCAAACACTGGTCCTGATGATGGGTTAAAGGTCTTCTACGGCCCTGTCCAGCTTTCCTAGAGTAACTGTTTGTCTCCTGGAATCTGTCTCCTGTGCTGGGAGAAACAGCAAGCCTTCAGGCAATGGCACATATTGATGCACCATCATGGAGGAGCTGGTATACCTGTGTAACCTCTGCCAAATGCAAAACTAGGTTAAAAAAAAAAAACAGTCAGAAAAGATGAAGAAAGGAAAAAAGTCAGTGACCTCTAACTGTAAAAACCATTCCTGTTTTAGTGGTCGTGCCATTGTTGTCCCTTTAGTGCACCTGCTGTTAGTCTCATTAACACCAAAGCAGCTGAAACTGATAAACAGACTCCACCTGCTACTTAACTGACCAGGTCAATATCCCACAAGTTCAACTGACTTGATGCTTTTAATGTTTTTGAGCAGTGTTTACTTTTAATTAGAGCATATTTTTTTTAAATCTGCTTTTCTGATAACCAAACACTTGTTTTATCAAGCAGCTAGTGTTTATGATTTACAGCAAATTATTTTGTGGACCCCATGGCTGTGTGTCACAGATGCCATTTTGAGAACCCCTAAGCTAGACGATATAGCCAAGCTATCGCAGAGAAACACAAGAACATATGTTTTATTTTCATTTTGGAGAACCAGCCCACACACAGAAGCATCTCCATCTGATCCTCTGTTACTTTCATTCGATACGTGTTAGTGGAGCACTGCCAGTGGATAATACACTAAGCTTTAATCTACTCCTGTTTGTGTGTTTGCCTTTTTTCCCCGTCTCGTGTGTGTTTGTGTGTAGGTAAACGGAGTAGACATGACAGGCCGTAGCCAGGAGGAGCTGGTGGCCATGCTGCGCAGCACCAAGCAGGGAGAGAGCGTGTCTCTGGTGGTGGCTCGGCAGGAGGACATGTTCCTGCCTAGGGAGCTGGTAAGAGAGCGTGAATACGCAAAAACGCAGCATCCACACAACGTCCCTTCACTCTTCTTTGTTGATCACTTGCTTTCTCTGGTGGTCTCTGCTTCATCCCTACATTGTGACATTTTCCCTTTCTTTTCCTTTCAAAGGAGCAAATCCTCTTCATCTTGATTTTTTTTTTGCACCACAGACACACAAACACACCCGGAGCACGAGCTCTGGCCTTCCTGTTCCTCTCTGGTTTGTTGACACAGTGATGCCAGAGGAAGTCACACACACCCTCAGACACACAAGCCACAGCGGGGGCCCCAGAGGAAACGCGCGAGTGTGTCCATGCTTGTCGGCACGCCCCGGGTGTTAAGTGACCGTTTACCTGTTGCGGCCGGCGGGGTCAGAAGCCGGCACAATGTGACCGAGCCTCACAAGGGACATCTTATCAATAAACACACACAGAAAGCCAGCTGGCCCCTTGAAAGTCACTCGCTCTGCGTAAATGATGTTTTCGCCTGTTCTCTCCTTTCTGTCCTCTGGTTATTCTGATTATTCCCTTCCCATTACTTCAAAGCACTGTGAGAAAGACGCGCGGGGGCTTTGTAGTGACTGATGCATATTCACACCTAGGCGAGCTGCGCACACATACACTCCCGAACACCTAGACCTTGATATAAAACTCACGCGCACACACGCGCGCGCCGAACACATCGCACATCTTTAAACAGCTAAGTTGCTGCTTCCGAAAATAGTTTGCCCTCATTAATGGCCCAGCAGTCTTGGCATAACAAGTGCACTTTGAAGAGACTCTACAGTCTTCATCTAACACTTGCTTGTATTTGTGCATTAGAGAGAGACTTAAAGAGTTGGGGGAGGGGGGGGGCCTCTCACTCCTGTATCTGTCGAAGTTGTTGAAGTTGCTGGTGCCCCGTGAGATCTGGCCCTTATCTCCAGCACAGTCCTCCACCTCAAAGACATTTTGATGTCCCCTAAGCACACGCACACACACACTTAGAGATAGACTCACAAAGACACTACACACACTCTCTCTCTAGTGGTTCTATTGATTGACTTTAGATGTGCAGACTCCTCCCCACTAAAAACAAAAAACATAAATACGCAGATGCAGAAAGAACTGCAGAGAAAACGTTTGCAGTTAAATGCATGCAAATGAGCAAACGCACACTTAAACACACAATGCTACAGGACACACCTCCCACCTTCCTGCGCTCTCCTTAATGATACTGGATGTTTCCAAATGCTTGTACTCAATTATTGTGGAATTTCGTGCCGGTGGTCGGATATCAAGAAGATGCAGACACATTAAAAGTGCCCGTCTGCCTCTTCCATCCTAAGGATGTGTTTGAGTGCCTGCCCGACTAGTGATTATTTTTCCATGCTTTAGAGGCTTTAACGTCTTGTAGAAAGCGTCCTTATGCATCCACACAGCAAACATTCGTGTCTGTAGTTCAGCACAGCGGTTTTACATCCAGCAGCTGCTGAGGTTAATTAGCCGAGTCCATCGACCAGCATCATATTGCTGCTGCAGGTAATTCGTCTGCATTATGAGCTTTTGTATCTATCAAAGCTCATTTTGCTCTTGAGCAGAAACATTTTTGTTCAGCTGAAAATGCCCGTCTCTACATTTATCTGTCTGTCTGCTCGGTTCAAGGATCACTTAAGGAAAGTGCGTTTGCGTGCGCTTGGTCGATGATGCGATGTTATGTGAAACCTGAAAACAGGTTAAGGACTTTGTGTTGTTTGTGCTGGATTTTGCATAGATGCGGCATGGAAAACACTCGAGTATCCCTGTCAGAGCTGTACAGTGAGTTGAAAGGATAGATTAGTGCACAGATAGTGTGTCCTTGTATCCAGAGTCTGACTGAAACTGACACTGAAACAAAGGTTCAAGGAAGCCATTTTACACTACTTGTAAAGCTCAGATATGTTTAAAGTGTAAGAAAAACTGCGTGGCTCCCCTTATGACCCTGTTCTCTCTCAGTGCTTTTATGAAAGAACCTCTTTGGAGTATGAAAGTATCTTATATCACTGTTACACCCAGTCTGTGCCGTGTTTTTCTCCTGGTAGCCCGATTTCTTCGGAGCTCCCGGAGTTAGTGTCAAATGTCCAACGTTTGAGCTCAAACGGAGTCTGAAGGAATTTGTATTACAGTGTTTCTTTGTGACCTTCAGCATTCCATTCATTTCATTCACATTAGAAATCAAAAGCATTTGGAGGCCTTACAAAATGTTCATGGTGCACATTTTCAAATTTCTCTTCTCGGATTAGATTTCAGGGAGTTTTTTTCTCTTGCGTGGTACAAAGACAGCTTCTAGGGGAGGAAATCGACGTAAGAGAAGCTCACTGTATTTATGTAAATGTAGAGGAGTCTGAGCATTGAGCAACTTAAAACGGGTGAAGTGTTTGCTTCTTTATTTTTCTAGAAGTTCATCGTAAACAGTGTATCCCCCCCAGCTGTAATACCTGCTGCTTTTCATGCCTTTTAGCACTAAAACTAATCCTAACAATATATAGCCACTGGATTGTTTAGGTTTGCTGGTTTGTGTTTACACCTATAGTGGTGCTTGATGGAATATCCTTAGTGTCAGGGTGTAAGTAGTGGAGTAGTGCACAAATCCAGTTTTTCAGGTGAAGTGATTATCAATATAGTGTATGTAGTTCAGTACAGTGGTTTTACATCCAGTGTTGTTTTCATCTGCAGCTAATTTATATTTGGTTTTATGACTCAGAGTGTCAGTGACAGGTCTAATCAGAAATAGCCTGTAAAAGAGGAGCTGGGGTGGAGGTGGGTTGCAAATTGGCTTGCATGTCACAGCAGGCCTGACCAACTTAGGCCATGTCCACACTAATAAGTTTTCCTTTGAAAACGCATCTTTTTCTCTTTCGTCCTTTCGCCTTTCGTCCACACTGAAGCAGCGTTTTTGGTTAAGGAAAACTGACCTTTTTGAAAACGTGGATACATTTGAAATTTAGACTGCAAAAACAGAGGCTTTTGAAAACAATGACGCATTTTAGTCATATGATGCAGTCATGTGACCAGTTCAACTAAGGTGGCGGACGGCATTGTACAGCAGTTGTTCTATTTGCTCTCAATTTTTACAGCCCTATTAAAGATTTGTAACAGTTTGTACATAGCTCCAGATGCTCCAGATAAACCTCGACGTTCCTCCTCGACGTGTCAAAGAGCCGGAAAGTAAACAAACGGCTGACGGAAATGACGCAGGTCGAATAGTCTTCATGCGTGCGCACTACAGGAACGTAGCGTTTTCAGTGTGGATGAAAACGATAGTGTGGACGCAGAGCGTTTTTTAGACGAAAACGCCGTTTTCAAATTTATCCGGATTAGTGTAGATGTAGCCTTAAAGATTGCATCCTACATGCAATTAGTCAGGAGGATGCTTTCAGCTGATCCATCAGCTGATGTGGGCTGACACTGAGAGCAGCTGATCTGTCGGTCCATCAGGCCTCACTGACCTAACGCGGTGCTCACTTTGTGCCAGAACTTCAATGTCTTTGTGAAATTTGGTAGAATTCATTACTTTCAGGAGGCTGCACGTATGCACGCATAAAAATTAATCAAATTTAATTGAAACTAAACAAGTAAGGCCTTGACTGAGGCACACGGGGAGGTTAGAGGTCAAACCAGCTGTGGAGCAGCTGATCAGGGTCCAGTGTTTTGCCAAGGGGCACTTCAGCAGAGCAGGCACTTGGTGGCACAGCAAGTTGAAGCGAAGCATGACACTGCAAGTCTAGTTTTTATACTCCCCGTGCGACCGCTGCCAACCCATAAGATTCTCTCCTCCGGTGCTCATATAGTCTGTTTTATCTCGCTTGTACAAGTAAAGTAGACTTTTAGAGGAACTGGCTGAACTGCTGATTGATTAGTTTCAATGGAGGGAGGGGAGTTACTGATGTTTCATGAGCAGCGTGCGGTTCTGTGAAAGCGCTCAGCAGCGCTGGGAGGCATGCTGGTCTCTTGTAGTCAAAAGAATGACAATAAAGCGTGTGAATTAGCCTCCTTATTAGGATACAAAAAAGCCGTCGATTTTCTACCCCATCTCCTGCACCAGCGCACACTCTCTGAGTAATTAAAAAGTGATAACTTCTAATCACAGTTTCATTCCTGTCAGCATTTCTGCATCTCCTCCGCTCGGCGCGCTCATTATTTCACGGGGCCTCGTTTTGTTTCGGGGCGGAGATTAGAGAGTTGCTTTGTAATGTTTTTTTCTGTTTTAAGCGGGTTTTTGTCAAGAGCAGGATATATATGTGTGCGTGAGAGAAAGTGTGTGTTTGTCATGCCAAGGACAGGATGGGGGGGGTCACTCTGCACATGGCTGACCCACTCCTGCCACCAAACCCAGGGCCAGCTCACAGGAAAAGGAGGTTGTGAGGAGAAAAACAACTTTGCTGTGTTGCTGTTGTCTTTTTCATCAACTCGGCCTCTTTGGCTGTCTTCTTTTTATTTGTACACATCCCGTCATTCTTCCTTCTCTTTTTATTTTCCCTGTCTGGAGCTCTTCACGCCGTTCCAGAATTATCCCCCAATCAGTCATTTTTTATTTTCCTTTCTCTTCATTGTGAGGTAAAGGTGTAAAGCGGCGAGGAGGCAAGACATTAAGGCGATTAATTGGCAGCTCCATCGTCGGCGTCAAGCGCGGCGAGATCGCATCTTAATTGAATGTCGCTCTCACCGCTAATCCCCCCGCTTTGAAACCCCCCATTTAGAAATCCTCAGCGACAAAAGGCTCTGTGTGTAATCGCCGTGTGTCACCCCTCCTCCTCCCCTCATCTCCTCTTTGCCTCCCGCCCTGGGGTAAGAAAAAGCTCCTTTTTGTCTCCTCATTTGGGTGTTGAAGAGGGTGGCCTCACTCCTGACTAAAAGCTTGTTAAAGAGCCATTGCTGAGGGCTAACAGCGGAGGCGAGAGGCAAGGGGCCCCACTCGCCTGGAGGATGCCATTTGCCCCCAAGGAACGGGCATTAGCGGGGATATTAGCGATGTGTGGGAGTGGGTTTGTGTGGTTGGACCACTACTGAGAATCACTTGGTTGTGTAAATAAATATAAATAAGCAGTGAGTTAGAATAAATAAACATCTTGTTTTAATAACTTCTCAGTGTCTTTTTTTCAAGAGCCTGCTGTGCTCTGATGTGTCCACCTTCACCTCGTGTGTTATTGCAGTTAGATCACAGAGGTATTTAAAACCTCCCAGGTTGCCACCTGAGTCTTCTCAAGTGTCTCTCAAGCAGGAAGAAGCAGATTGTCTTTGTAATGCCTCTGGTTTTGAGTAGCAGCACTCTGAAATGCCTTGTTGATAAAAATAAGCCCCGACTGAAAATCTCAAATTATACTCGAGCAGAAAATAGATTCTGTGACTTTTGAAGGTTGGGTTTTGCTCGTTATTCGTATCGTGGAACTGATTATGAGCACCGAGTTAAAGATGTGTAACGATAAAGCTATCGTTTCATTTTTGAATGTTTTGTGCAGATTGGGGTACCTCTGTAGGCCAGAATGTAAAATGAAAACGCAGAAATGACCCTATTTCTGATTTGAAGTCTCCTCTTAACTCAAACACATTTTTACGTACTGTCATTTGAGTGCAGCCTGATGTATGTGCAGAGTTTGACACCAGCGAGCTGTTGGCCCATCAGAATGAGAAATGTTTCTAACTCACCTTAAAGTTTACTTCATGCAAGAAAATGATGTGACAAGAGTAATGGAGAAACTGGAAATTTTCAGTGCACGTGCACTGAAAAGGGAATTTTCCGTGAGATGGGAGAAGGAGAGCTCTTGACCTCACCAGGGAGATGAGGGCAATACTGGGGTAATCCATATTACTCTGAGGAGGGTCTTTGACATTTTTGAACTGAGGTTTCTTTAACCTCGGTTTTCAAGACTGGAAAATGAGGTGTGAGAGACCTGACCTGAATTAGGGACATTGCAGTTTGATAAGAAGTAAGTCCTTATTACTGGGGTTTGCTAATAGTTGTAGTGAGAGCACTAACAGGGACTGGAAAGACTGTCTCATTCGTTGGCTCCCTGTAAAATCCAGAGTGGAATTTCAAATCCTTCAAATCCTTTTCCTCACATACAAAGTCCTGGATGATCGGGCCTCATTATATCTTATCATCTGGATCAGGTTATAGGCTCAGGCTGCTAAACTACCTCCACTTTCCTCTCCTGTGCATGTGCTGCTATTGTCTTCAACTTTGTCGTCTCTCTGCCAAAGTTTGTGCTTTGTCTTGTTTGTTAGTCACCTCCCTGTGCTCGTCTCTCGACTCCCACTCCAGCTGGTTGCAGCAGTGAGCTGGTTCTTTATTTCCACCTACTGTTGCAGATCTCTTGCTCATACTGGATTGTCGGGTTCCTAATGTCTATATTGTTGTGGGGTTTTTGGCCTCGAGATGACTGCTGTTGTAACTTGGTGACGTACAATGAAAATGAGCTGAATAAATCCCAGTCAGCTTGCCCACCCGGTCCTCTGCAGGGGTGGGCAGTATTTACTTCATCAAGTCAAGAGTCAAGTCAGCTTCCTCCCACCATCCAAACACATGCGTGTCAAGTTAGCTGGTGATTTACATTGGCTGTAAGTCTGAGTGCGAGTGCATCCAGTGCATACCTTTCATCATGTGACAGATGGGATAGACTCCAGCCCCTCTGAACTGGATAACTGGAAGAAGATGAGAAACAAATAAGGATGAAATCAAAGGCAGCCGTCGTATATTCACATGGAAAAAAAGTGCTGACCGTTTCTTTTTCCAAAGACGACACAGGATGCAAATGCTTATTAATTCCCACCTCTGTCTAATTCTTCTTTATATTGTGATGAAACTATAAGTGCTCTAGGTTTGCTGTACAGTACATGCCGCTTTGAAACCCTCCTCCAACTGAGCTCATCTTTGTTTCTGATTTAATCAAGGGCATATCTGATGACAGTGATGCCTGCTGTATTTGTTACCGGTGTTTCTCTCAGGTGGTCCCAGAGCTGTAACACTTTTAATTAAAAAAGAAGAAGAACTTGATAACACCTCTTTGTAAAGCAGCCTACAAGTAAGCTGAATTTGAGCACCTGAAAATAGGTGACTGTTTTTATAGAACTGACCAAGCACAGTGTATCGGATCAGTGCTTGCCTCTTTGCTACCATGCAGACGGCCTTCTAGGTTTCCCTCATTTCCCATCACTTAGTCGAGAGGTTTGACTCTCTCTTTGGAGCTGACTATCCCTCCAGGCTCGAAGGCTTTAACGGGCTGTTGTTTTAATTAAGCACCCAGACAAAGCAGCGCTGACAAGGGGGGAGACGGTGTTGCAGGTCTGGAGGATCACAGCGAGTCAGGAAGAGTGAATTTTTCTTTTTCTCTCGCTAAAATTATACTTGAGGACATATTTGACTCCCACATCCTTCAGCACTGTGCCACGATGAGAGGGGAATGTGAACATGGATTCCTGCTTCACTGAAGAGTGAGGTGTGTGATGTAAGGCTCCCGCAATCCTGCCGTGGGTACTCAGATCTTTAAAGCTGTGACAACCGGCGTGGCGGTGATAATGTATATGCATATTCCTAACAAAATCCAATCTGACATTTACTTATCTTATGAGTCAGAGCTGACTTTAAAGCGCCTATTGTCTCTGCCGTATTTTTTTGAAACCTCTCGCATACTTTCTGCCTCAACCCGAGCAAGAATAAAAAGAGAGAGCGAGAGATGTGTAGCACAAGCATATACACACAACCCCTCTTAACCTTCCATCTCTTTTCTCAAAAAAAATAAAGCTTGGGAGCGAAGTGGTGTTGAGGAGACTCCCCTCCGCAGGCTCTCTTTCTTTCTTTTCCCCCCTGGGTGTCTGAACCTGGCATTTTCCCTTTTGCTTGCTCTCCATTTTGCCGTCCTCTAATGACAGACATTTTCCTTTTCGCTCTTTCCGTCGCCTCTTTCTCCCTTGCTTTCACTCCCCTTCGTCTCATTTTCGGAGCAGTGCTGCTGTTGGTCATTTTCCTCACATTAAATGGCAGCAGACGGGTAGGGTGTGGGCGTGGGGTGGCGGATGTGAAAAGAAAAAAAGAGCGTCAGAAAGTAGAGGAAAGAACCCGCAGGTGGAGAAGGGAGGGACGTATAGTGAGATTGAGAGATTAGGACGAAATGTAACGAGGTGGGGGGGTGAATGAGAGAAGAAGTGGATATACCTCAGGGACGGGTTATTACTTTTAAATGCTCCTCTGCGCCACCATCCTCTCCCCTCCTCTCCTCTCCTTCCCCTTCCTCCCCCACAGGGCTCCAGGAGGAGGTATGAAAAGGTTATTATGTTTCCTTTAGAAATGGCTTGCTCTCCGTCTACGCCTTTCATCTCCAAATGGAATAACCTCTCTACAGTAGCGTGCTTATTTTTCTCGCTACACCTTCATCTGTCTTTCCAGTACACAACACACACTCCTGCCGTCTCCTTTCCTTTTCTCTCAGTCTTTTTTTTCACTCCCCACAGCTGCCTTCCATCTCTTTAATCCATCTCTCGCTCCTCCTTTTTTTTTTTTTCGTGGTGTTGAGTATAGTCGGTGCACTGTGCTGTAGGTACATGCCTTATCAGTCAGTTCAGTTGGGTATGGTGCTCCTGCCTCACTCATCAGCTATCACACTCAGCAGTTATCATGTAAAGTATGCTCTAGGTGTATGTGTGAACAGATTATAGTGTTTTACATAACATCTGAGCCTCTGTTCTTTACTGTTTTTCAGAAAGGGGAGGACTTGAGCAGTCGGGTGATGGAGGATGGCAGGGAGCAGCTGATGTACGAGATCCCGCTCAATGAAACGGGCTCGGCCGGCCTGGGGGTCAGCCTAAAGGGGAACAAGTCCAGGGAGACCGGAGAGGACCTGGGAATCTTCATCAAGTCAATCATTCATGGAGGGGCTGCTTATAAGGTATGAAATAGACACATCCATGTTTTCAGGCCTTTAGATCCCACTTTTATGTAACATCCATCCATTCATCCTTCCTGCCTGCCTTCCTTCCTTCCATCCATCCATCTTATCCAGTTCAGGGTTGCTGGGGGGCTAACAGACAGCTCACTTTGTGAGCTCAGTGTAATTGTTAACAAATGGTTCCCAGCCTGTTTCAGCTGACATAACCCTCACAAACTCTTCCAACACCTTTCACATTCAGGTGACTGTATTTTAAACTGGATCTGGATAACTTTCAGTATTTCAGCCATCTACAACTATTAACTTAGTATTTCAAATATTCAACCAACCCTCTGACCTATTACTCATTTTAAAAGGCTATTCATTGTATTAGTAATTTCATTATGGAAACTCTTGCTAACCCTAATTGAATAAGTAGGGCTTGTTTGGAAGGGTTCCCAGGAGAAAGCCTCTTCTCTCTAAAAATGGCTTAGGTTTCCAAAGTTGCATCTGAGGAAACCACAAGACTCAAAGTACAGATGGAAAAAAGGAGGCAGAAAGGATAGACTGCTAATTGGAAGGTTGGTGGTTCGATCCCTGGCTCTTTCACTCTGCGTGCTGCAGCATCCTTGGGTAGAATGGTGAACCCAGCATATTTCTTACCACCTCTAAGGCACGATGGTTGAGGGGTGATGATTTGGGCTTGTTTTGCAGCCCTGGGCACCTTGCAGTCATTAAACTCATAACAAATTATTCTAGAAGTTGAATATGAGGCCACCTGTCTGATAACTGAAGCTCAGTGATATAACAGGACAATGACCGCAAGCAGAAAAACCTACAATGAAGCGGTCCAACTCAGACCTGATTAAAGTGCTTTGGTGCGACCTTAAGAGAGCTGTGCATCAATAAAGTCCCCCAAACCAACGCTGTAAAGGAGAGCAGGCCAAAGTTCACAGTGATGTGAGAGACGGAGAAAACATCACTTCAACCTATTGCTGCTAAAGGTAGTTCTGCAAGTCACCGAATCATGGAGTGTACTTGGTTTTTCACAGGACTCTATGCAGTCCTGTGAAAAACTATATTTTTACAGGACAGAAGAAGACCTGTATGTTGACATGTTTCTTTAAGAAACACAAAATCCACCTCACCAGAACAAAAAAGGCATTTTAATTGTCATTTGAAGCAGTGAAATGAGCTAATATTTCCCCTGTTCTAAGCAGAAACGGCTCCTGGGGGATTTACAGGTTAGGAATCGATCTGCAATTTTTTTTAAATCTCAGACTTAAACTGTTCAGGCTTCTTTGATTGATCGTTTTATTCAGTTTTTGTTTCTCCAAGGTACATAGAAGAAATGTCATGGGGGTTGTTCTTATTGTCTTTCTTTTTGTTTCATCTAGTTTTATTTAGTCGCTCTATTTCCCCTGTTTTCTGGTGTCTTTCTCTGTCATTTCCTGTCATCTCCTCTCTCCCATTTCCTGTCATTCTCTGCTTCCAACCCCGCCCCCTCTTGGTTTCCCTTAACCTTTGACACCCATTGACCCCAAGTGGCCTTGTCACATAAGCACTGCAGCAGTCTTATCTATATCACTCAGTGCTCACTTCAAGTTGTGAGTGCATCAGGAAAAAAAACATCCTATTTCAGCACTTTGGAGACTCCTCTGCTTGGCCTCAATCTGTGTCCGCCAGCAAATGTCACAAGTCTTTGCGCCTCTCGTCGCTGCCCCCAGATCTGCTCTGCACGACAAGGAGGCGCAAAGACGAGTGTGCCGTTGTAGATAAATAGCTGTTCTGGGATCAGGCAGGCCAGACAGAGGCTCCCAAAAGTGCCTTCAGAAGTAGTTTTCAGACATCTGTCGATGCGGATAGCGCTCCGACAGAATGTCGTCGTAAGATCTGCGGCTGCGAAACTGGTCTCTGGGACAGAGTAGCGAGGCAGGAGAGACAGACAGCAGCGAGGAACGGAGGGAAGGAGCCTAATGAAAGAAGACAGCGGGTGAACGAGTGCAAGAAGGGAGGGAATCTGAGAAGGAAGAGATGAGCTGTATCGAACGAGAGAGCGACGCAAAGAGGCGGAATAAGAGGAGAAAAAGAAAATTGAAAAGTGTAGACACTCAGCAGGAACGCAGCGCGTAAGAGTAGATACTGTATGTGTGCGTGCGTCTCCTCCTCGACGTCGATTCATGCTAATGAAAAGCAGCTAAGGGCCCTGATGAGAGTTTGCAGCGGCAGGCCGGTGCAGAGGGGGGAACCCGGGCGTCCCCTGAGCCTGACTGACACACACACATCATCACACAGCAGGCACAGGAAAGGAGGAGATGAGGAAGAGACGTGGCGAGATCTAACCTATTTCCATTAAATAGTTTTAGGGTGGGAGGAGGGGTGTCAGGCCGGGGGCCTCAATTATATATATATATATATTATAAAAAAAAGAAAGTTCTTTGACTTTACCCCTAATCCTGTCACACGATCATTTCAAAGAGTATGCTGAGAAAACAAATTAAATTTACATGTATCGTGCTGCAGCTGCTTACATGGAGAATGAAGGAATTAATGGGGAATATCACAGGCGTCTGCCGTATTTGGGATAAGCATCAATTTTTGATGCCATCCTTGAATTTGATGCCAGGCCTTAAACTCTGGGTGTGCGCGTACGTGTGTGTGTGTGTGTGTGGTGTCATTTTTGAGGTCAGCCTAAACGGTGCCTTGTTAATGCGGTGGGGTCAAAGGGCAGCACTGACCATAATGGGATCTTCAGACTTTCTCACACACAGGAGTCTCTCCCTGTGTCGTCTTGTATTTTCTTTCATTTATTGCCTTTTTGCATCACTCTCTTCATTTGATCCCCTCTCTCTCTCCTTCTCCCTCACTGGATCGTTCATTTCCCTCCCTCCCTCGCTCCCTCGCTCTCCCTCCAGGGCACTATTCTGTGTTGCCTCTCTACAAGAGGCTGCTATTTAAAACACTTAGAAGTGATTTAGTGCCCACGGAGGCTATTCCATTAGCTGCTCTATGTATTTATCATGGCTCTCTCGCTCTCAGTAGATTGCTAACTCTACAATTTTCTTGCCTACCCCCTTCTTCCATTTTCTTCTTTCCCACTCGGCCTCTCTCACACACCCACACACACTTTATACCTCTCCAAATTTCTCTCCCTTACTTTTAAAACTTTATCAGTACCCATTCTAGTTCGTTTTAATCTTTTTACGCTCTGCTCACTTTGATCTCATTTTATTATTTTACTTAAATTGAGTAAATAAAGTGTGACCGCAAAGAACACGTTCAGGTTTTCTCTTAAAGCGCACCTAACGGTCGTCTTCTCCCAACAGGATGGCCGTTTGTGTATAAACGATCAGATGATAGCGGTGAACGGCGAATCGCTGCTCGGGCGCTCCAACAACGCCGCCATGGAGGGCCTGAGGCGGTCCATGTCGTCGGAAGGAAACACCAGAGGCACCATCCAGGTGGTTGTTCTGCGAGCGCCCAAGCAGGTACAGCAAGCTTTGTTTTTGTCATCCCAGAGCCAACTTCTGTGGCATCGTGGGATTTTTTTTTTGAGAGCTGTATTTCAGAAAGCGAGAGCTTCATCGCCAACTAAGATGTTGCTGTTAATAAAAAAAACGTAACTGATGGAAAGCAGTGACGTTTTTAGGCCACGGAAGTGCTCAGGCGTAATTTTGGAGGTCTTTGGAGTCTGAAGCCTTGGAAAGAGCAGAGAGGTTCACATCAGTGGCTTGGAAGGAGCCACGATGGCTCTGTCTCGATACAGTCCTGCAGAAATCAGTCTTTTTCAACTCTTTAATCCAGAAAATATCCAAGGCGATGAGTACGCCCGTTTATTCCAAAACTTTTGCATGTTTTTTCATGTTTCCTTATGAGCTAAATAAAAGTTTTAGATTCCCAGAGTCGGGCTGGATGAATTCGGGTACATTAGGGAATGCCTGCTGCATTATGAAATCCTCTGCACACCCTTATACGTTCAAAGATTATTCACATCATAAGCAGCTGCCACAGTTTTGACAGCAGAATCAATTAAACATATAATTCGCTTTAGGATGATTTTTTTTCTCTCATGTTGTCATCATTTGAGGCTTACACTTAAAAAAAGTGCTGCTTATACAGTAAACAGTAAGTGGGTTGGCAATGTGAAATCAGGCTGAAGTACTAAATCTTTTTACAAAACCCAGTTAAATTGATTGTGGAGTGACACAGATGGTGTTCTTTCTTTCTTTTCTTTTTTTTCTGTGACAAACAAAACCTTTTCCAGCATTCAGAAAGCCCCTCAGCTCAGTCATCGTCGAGAAGTGCTTCTCATAAACACTTTTGGATAGAAATAATGAAAATAAAGGCTCCCCGTGCGACTGTCATGCTGCGTGATTTGTTTGGCTGCTAAGACTGCATAAGCTACATTCTCGTGACAGTTTTTTTTTTTTCACGCAAAATAAAAAATCAACCCAGAGAAAAGGTAGGCGATTTTTACAGCTTTAAGTTTAAGTTGACACCCAAACAAGAAGCAGCAGATAACAGCGTTGTTTATTTAGGAGGCCTTCGATAAGCGTTGTGCCACTTCAGTCGCTATAAATGCGTCAAAATGACTTTATTTTGCTTTGCAGATGGGGAATGCCAACTCCACTTCAAACATCTCCACCAACCATCAACCCAACATTCAAGCCGGCTCCAGCAATCAGGTACGAACGGGTGACGGCCGCCACCAATCGCAGCCATCTCCGCCTCCCCGCTCCTCGTCTTTTTTCCTCCCCTCGCTGAGGCGGCGGGCGACCGAGCCGCTGCCTCCGAGCCACAGGCAGCGTTACGCACAGAGGCCAGGGGAGACGCGCACCAGATACACCTGTGGATTTAGCCGCACTCACGGGCGTAGCGGTTACACATTTGGGTTCAGACAAAGGGATAATGAGTGCAGCGATGATGACGGCGAGTACGCACAGCACCGCCAAACCGTGCGCAGCTCAAACAAGCCGACAGAGGGAAATCTAAACGGGGAAAGGTGTGAATGCAGCCAAACGCTCGATAACGCATGCGGTCACAGTGTGGCCGACTCTCAGGGCAACACGCAGCGTCACGTGGACACACGCGGCCACGAGGGCAGGCGCACGCGTAGCCGCACGCTGGATGATCTCCACGACCACGAGAGTAACAGTTACACCGAAAACATCCGAGCGATGGCAGAGCAGATGTACGGGGACTCGCCTACGCACAGCAAGATACCCACTCGCGGTCAGAGTAACAGAAACACACACAGATCTGCAGACAGCTACGTGGACGCACACTCGCATAATTGCATTCACAATCAGTCTCTGACCAGACGATACTTTCAGCTCTGACCGAGTCTTAAGTGTGTGGATGATCTCATGCACACAGAAAAGATTTAACTGAAAATTAAGGAATTGAAATGAAACCAAAGCACTTTGGGAAAATATTCATTTTTATCTGTGTAACGTTATGAGCATTACCACCAATGAAATTATGGGGAGAACGTTTCTTCTCTTAGTGTGACTACAGTACAGTTTTTTTAGCCATCAGTGGTTTGGAAGCAGATTCATCTATCTGAGAGCTTTCCCTTTGCCAGCACCGCTAACTGCCACACCATTTTGTTCCCCTTTTAAAAAGTGACTCATAGCTCGATGCAGTACTAAATTCATCACTGCGTCTGACTCTCCTCTCTGTCACATTGGTTTAAATCACTAAACTTAGCTCTCTTTTTCTGTTAAACCCGCTACTTTGTCTGTGTGAAGTTTTCCTTTTTTATTTTCCAGGTTTTTAAGAGGATGTACTCTTGCTTTCCTGTCTCACCTGCGTGTTTCTCCTCTGTTTAAATAAAGCTAGTGTGAAGCCTCCTGCATGCCTGTTTTTCCTGTTGGGTTTTCAGCAGCTTTCTTCTTTTTGGCTCTGCTCTTATTTATTAAATTCCCCTCTTCCCCCTGTTTTGGGCTTGGTGTCTCTTTTCTGTCTGGGTTTTAGTCCTTGTTCCTTCATGCATAAACGAAGGTGTTTCCTCAGAATTGAGCAACTTAAAATTCCCAATATTAACATAAATCACACGACTCAACATTTTTGTTTTATTACGTTTATTTATTAAAATATGTGAAATATTTTAAAAAATATTATATTATAATTATAATATATATAATAATAATAATATATATAATAATTATTAATAATTATAATATTATAATATTTAAAAATATTTTAATATACATTTTGTTTAAAGCTGTAACATAGAAAAATCTATATCATACAGCATATATATCATGTATATTATCACTTATTATTAAATGTTTTCCAATATGCGCTTCATAATTTTAACTTTTAATTTCATTTTTAAAGATAAATTGACAAATTTAATCCCAGAAGACACAAATCACGTCAAGAATTAAATCTGGTGTTAAAATAAATAAATAAATAAATAAATAAATACAAATCTGCCAAATCAACCATTCAGACGTGCACATACTATATAATGATATAAATATTTCCATTTGATTTTAATTCAGTCACGTTTTTTCAGTTTGTGTTAAATATACAGTACGGCATCGCCTACTGCGATGAACTAACAGGTCATGTTCATAGTCACTAACAAGTCATTTAATTAAATATGCAACGAAAAGTACGTTACAGTGCAACGCTTTTAAATACCAAATGGTTTTCTGAGAGTTTAGAGGACTTGTTTGTTGAAGCAAACTAAAAGGTTCTTGAATCACACAGGATGCAAAAAGGTTATGTTCATCTTAAAAAGCAGCTCAAGTTCGTGGATCAAAAAAGCTGAACTTGACACAAACGTTTACTCCAAAAGCTTCAAAACACATTTCACAGCAGCTTGGTGAGACTGCGTGACACAGAGGGAGACTTCATGGGTTGATTGCCATTGACCTGCACATTGTGGCATTTACATCTCGTCTATGCCTCCTCCCAGTGTGCGTGTGTGCATCTTTGTTATCAATCCAAGCCTTTGGATAAAAGCTATCAAACACAGTTCAAAGTTCAGTATTTATCTGCATAGTCCTTCTCGTCTCACCGCTTAACAGCCAGTCTGGTCTTTTGATTAAACAAACAGCTCCTAAAACGAAACGCCCTGACCCCCGTCAGCATCCCCGCCTCTGTCTGGAGCTGGCTTTGGGTGAGCACTGGATTATAGGGCCTTAAGTCCTAAACATGATAAACTGCCACATTTACCTTGTTACATCTAAGAATGGCTTTTTTGCTTTAAATACACCCAGATGTTGTATTTCATTGTTTAGGTTTAAGTAATGAATCACTGGACTTGCCTAGGTTCTGATTTACTCAAACTTGTAGTCAGATGTAATTGGATGTTGTAGGTATTCTCAGCATGGATATATAGGGTTTTAAATGTTTTTGACAGATGTAAGTAAACATACACAGAAGGAGATCTATAAAGCTTGTGATTTTTCTCTCTAGTGCAAGCATGAGTTTGACATTTGCGTTTTTTCTGATGTAACTTTGCATCATATTCGAGGAAGCATGTGACGACCTACCGTAGGTATCTAAGCATTTATAAGGCTAAGTAGACTGATAAACAGTGAAAAAGGGATCGTAATTGGCAAAACGATAGACATATAAGTCATGTGGAACGGTTTCTGTTCCTCCGTTGCTCTCCACGTCTAGCCAATTGATAAGAGGGTTGGGTGGGTGACGCGGTAGGCTGAGGCAGGACTAAGCCTCTCTGAAGCCTTTTCTATGCAGCTGTAGGTTAAGACTGTCTGCAAAGACAGATCCCCCACACCCCTGTTTACTTATTGTTGTGGGATTAAGATATCTGACTGCCTGTCTGCCAGGCAGCTTTAAAAGCCTGAGGCAAACCGCAGGCCAAGGGATGGATGGATAGACGGACGGACGGGCAGATGGGCAGCAATGATGGGATTTATGTTAGTGACAGATGCGGAAAAACTGTCACAACTTTGTGTGCACATTCATACGGCACCCATATACGAGCTCAGTGTGATTGACAGCTGTGATGTTGTGACATATTAAGATGTATGGTAGCTACTAATGATACCCCAGGGACTGCGTGACATTGTGAATGCACCCCACCCAACACTTTGATATCAGAAAGCTGCTGGAACACCTTTCATTATTGTACGCAGAGTCTTAAGCCTGTGTGTCGGTGTCTGCTTTTGCTTGCTGTGTGTGTGTTTGACAGCTGTAGCGCCCATCTCTTTGACCAAAGCAGGCTTCTTTCATCCGCCAGCAGCACTGATTCCCATCACCGTTGCTAGTCCCTGTCTCCAGCTGCGGGGTGAGGGTCCTTTGTAGTTCTGGATGGCTGTTTTATAATGTGCCTGTCAGCACTTTCGGGATTATCTTAATTATTGTGTTTTCAGTGTACCCATGAACGGTATCACATGATTTCCCACTGCAGTTACTCATTTTTTCTAATAAGGACTCCCAGAAGTGCATCTAAATGTGTATGTTTGCTAATTTTGTTAGCGAAGCTACCATCTTCTGTATCAAAGTTAGGAAATACTTCAGAAAACATTAGCTGATGAGGGACCTGGTCACAGCTGAGTCTCCATCAGTGACATATTTCTTCCTCACTTTTGATCAACCAGAATTCTTTTTTTTGTTTTTTAAACTCCACTGCACATCTGATCCTCAGAGGATTGTTTTAGTCTATTCACATTTCCTCCGAGCCCTGATCTAGTATTACCATCTGAGCTGAATTGTAATCCATTAGTTGCAAGAAGTGAGTGAACTGCAAGAAGATTATTGCAAATCCGCCCTTTTTGCTGTTGACTTGGACTTGACTGCAATTGCTCTTGGCTCGGGAAAATTCACATTTGATTTTTCATTTGTAGGATTTCCTTCATGAAAATTATCCAGTCTTTTTTTATCTATATATAGATATATATATCTATATATAGATAACAAAGAGTGGCATATATATATATAGAGAGATATAGATAGATAGAGATAGATAGATAGATATATAGATATATATATAGATAGGCGAGAGAGAGGGATCATTTAGGACATCTGAGTTTCCACATCTCTTAATGGTCACAGTATCCATTTCTTTGTGTGGATTTCGCATCAAGTTGAGAAGATTAGAAATTTAAATTGGACCAGCCGGTTTGGTCAAAAACAACGTGACGTGAGTCACTGAGCAGCCGTATTCTGAACAACCTGCAAATGTTGCACTGAGTGTTTGCTTAGATAAGTGAACAATTAATTGCAATAATCCAGATGTGATGAAAAATGCATGAATAACAATTTCAGTTCAGAGTGTAACTCGATATGAGTTAACATGGCAATATTTCATAACTGATTAAAAGCAAGAGCAAACCTGAGATATGAACTTCCAAAGTAAAAGTCGGGTTACTCCACAGGAAAAAGATTTGGCAAATATGGCAAAGCCATCGAGAGTTTCCATTACCTTAGACATAAATCTGTCGGGGGCACAAACGAGGACTTCTGTTTTTTCTTTATTAAGTTGGAAAATAATGTCACCCATCCTTTTAATAGAGTCAAAGCACCTCTGCAAGATCTGTAGCTTAGAAACACCTTGAGACTTAATGGAGATGTATAACTAAATGTGTCGCTGTGATAACAAATGTCCTGAAAAGTTCTCAGAAAGTGCTGCAGATGGAGCAGATATAACAGAATCACTAAGGGCTTCGAAACAGAGCCTTGTGGCACACCATAGGTAAGAGAAGTGGAAAAGACCTGTACTTATAAGCAGGCACAGAAAAGGGTTGTTCAGACAAATATGATGTAAAGCACTTAGCAGAAGACCTGAGACGCCGTACTGTCTTCACAAGACATACCGAGGTTGAGGGTGTTGAACTCTCAACTGTGGGCTGACCAGTTGGTCACAACAGCTGTTTGCAGTTGTTAAATAAATAAATGTTTGTTGACAGTCTAGTGCTAGATTTCTCTAGCAAATATATTGCCTCTGTTTCGACTTGCAGAAGGATGCAGGACAAGCTAAGGACCGCACATCAAGCACTGGTTACATATTTTCCTGGTACATACTCGTTGCACATCGGTTCTTGTTAACGTTTACACCACGATTGGTGGTTACGTTCATATCAGGAAGTGGTTGGAGGGATCAGATCATTGTGCATTTTGCTGGTCGTTTGCACTTTTGTTTCACAACTGCCCCTTACGATGTGCTCAAGCTGATAAATCTGTCCTGGAGCCTCTTCCCCACATTGTGGTGACATTTAAGATTAAAGATCGACAATTTATTATTGTCCTTTTGACCGAACGAACCAGACTACTTTACTGGTTTGACACCAGTAGACAAAAACGTGTACGTCTTCAAGAGCATGCCTCCAGCATGCCAAAACACAAAGACAGTATAGCTTTGAAAGCAGGATTCAGTTAACGGGCTATAAATTGGATGCTTGTGTACTTTGGAATCTGGTGCTAGTATTATGTAGCAGTGATATCTAAAAATGTGGTAAAAGTGAAATAAAAGAGACTCATTCATTACTGCGAAATAATAGAAACACATTTTCTTGCATCTGAAACCTGACAACCATTTTCAGAGTTTCTCTTCTGCTCCCTCTTTGCTGACAGGACCTTCGAAGCCACGATTCATACCAGAGACCTTCAGGACCCACCAGAGCTCCGAACACTGAGTCCACCATGAATGGTGCGAGTCACACTCCAGCTACGCCGAACAACTACACACACAGCAAATCTGGAAGTGGTGAGCACACAACTGCACGCTGTTTGTCCATTTGAACTGTCAGATAGTCAACATTAGGCTTAGAGTGTTTGTGTACTCCCCTTATCTGCAGCTGAGTATGTACACACAGTATGTTTGTTTGTGTGTGTGTATTCGCGTCAGCTTATTTACGTGTGTGTGTGTATTTGCCATCACTGCACAGCGTGACATCCAGCCAAGGCTCCTGATACCATAGTGTTTTTTAGGTCACTGTAGCAGCCACCCTGAGCATTTTATAGCACCGCATTACAAATTTGTCACATCTTTCTCCGGCTCTGTCTTTGGATCCCTCCTCACTCTCGCCCCTGCATATTTTTAGCAGGAGAAAGGGAAGTCATTAACTGTGTTTTTCTGAACGCGCCGCTTGCTTTTCATGTGCAAAAGATCTGACCTTGGAATCATTACGCTGATGAAAAAGCTCCTGAGTGGGCCAGATTTGCATACGGGGTATTGTGCGGCATGCGTGCTGTTGTGTTAAAGAAAAGGGGAAAAAAAGGACTAACAAACTGTTTTAAATTCATTCTTTATCTCTTTCTCCCTCGTCTCCCACTCCCTCACCCCCATGGGAAGCCCGGGATGTTTTTTCTCACTGTCGGCCCTCCGTCACAGTGGAACAGTAGTGGAGTTTTACGACGAGGGTGGATTTCAACACAAAAGAGTTTACAGTGCGATAAACTCCTGGGGGTTTACAGTTTATGGAAATTCGGCAAGAAGTGTTTCAAATAAGTTACAAACGATTGTTGTCTGTTTTTTAGTTTGCATCTATTTTTGACGTAATGCTGAGCTCTTCATCGTCAGTATCGATCCTCAATTGAAGGACGCGCTATTTTTCATCGCGCCTGTAATTAAATATGTGACGCGCCCTGTCACCACTGATTGATAATATTTAGAAGTATACAGCTGCTAAAATTAGATCTCGTGATTGTGTGCTGCCGCTCATCGTTTATTAAGCTTTTGTTGCGTTCAGGATTGATGCTGGAGTTAATTCAGGCAGGGTTATTTTTGATATCGTCTCCAGCAAAAATCAAAGTGAAAGCTATGAACAAACAACCTGAGAAAAGCTTTGATTCATCCTGATAAACAAAATCTGTGTTGTTGTTGTTTTTTAAAAAATGTTTTACTTTTTTTTTTGTTTCTGCTCAGCTCCATCTCCTGCTGCGGTCGCCGATGACAGCTATGGTCACTATGGCAACGACGACGAGCAGCAAGACTTCCCCCCGCCGCCCTCCCCTGGCACTGTGGAGGAAATGAACAGAGAGTTTTTGCTAAACCCTTCATCCAACAGGTACCCCACCCCATTAAAACACACACACACTGCATAGAACACTTCATAATCAACCCTCTATTAAACTCCACACATAGGCTTACAGAGTTATTATGTTCTAATGGCGCTCTTAATATGGCCCTCTGTGTTATGAGATAAAGTAGAGCCATTACATTAAATATTACATTGTGAATATGCATTATTTAGACTAGATTGTCTAATTGCAGTAGCCTATTTGCATCACGCAAAACCAATTATATGCTGATAGCATAATGGAATAAATTCTGTAGGAGTTCATGGGCTCAGAAAGAGCTGTGATATTTCTGTTAGTATCCTGCTGTACAGTTGGCTGACACACTGAGAACAGAAACACAGGAAATTTATGTGAAACGCCAATTTCCTACCTGCTTCATTAGGATTACCTGCTAAGGAGATGTTCTGTCAGCAGGCTGTCAGGGCCTTTGAAAAACAAAAAAGGGATCTCTCCCCCCCCATGCTTTTCTATATTCGGTGGATGTAGACATAAGTTTTGATTTGACGCTCTAGATAAAGCACTCGATTGCATAAGTAGATCGCCCCTTTGTTTTGGGGCAGTGTTGAGCCTCAAATCAAATATTGATTTTTGTGTTTTGGATTAAAAAGAGGTGGTCTGATCATCATATAAAAATTCCATCCGACTAAACTAAAATGAAAACCTAATGTAAGGCCGTCCAGTAGGATTGCCCCTCTCTGTAAACAGCGATCTAGAAAGTGCTACCCAGATTGCTACAGGACTTTAGCATAGCATCAGGAAGATATATGGAGCTAGACAAAGCAATGAAAGCATGGTAACGGTAATTTAAGAGTCGGGTTACTCAGAGTGGATGTCCTGCAAAAATCACACCGAGGTGAAGAAGAACACACACATAATATTAAAGTACCTGCAAAAATGTACCCAACTTCCTAAAATCTTATAGTATGTAAACAATATAAGAATAACACTTAATAAATAAATGAATGTAAATTGAAAGCAGTCACAATTCTCCAAAGATATTTTGTAGCACGCCTGGATGCTTCACAGTTTTCACCATTCTTTGGACAAATGTGACAAAAAATGTCCCTGCATGCTAAAAACACTAAAAGGTCGTGCCTGCTTGAAAGCATGGATGGTGAAGGGAGCATCATGATTTGTGGAAAGAAGAATAAGAGCAGGCCTGCACACCGTGACCTGAAGTTTAGCTGTGTTCTGGTGACAAACAAGAAAACAACCCAGGGAACGGATGTCAATGAAGAAAATGTCACGTTTTGGAGTTACCAAGTCTGAACTTCGCCCAAATAAGATGTGGCAGGAACCGAGCAGTGATTACTCAATAACAGTTTACTTGTTATTAAAATAGTGTTTTTCCATAATGATCATATAATAATTTGGGCATAGTTGTGCATTTGTTAGCACTGGCACATCACAGGAAAAGGTTGCTGGGCCTTCCTGTAATGATGATGATGATAATATTTATAACTTTATACGTAGAGCATTTTTCAAAGCACAGAGATACAAAGTGTTATGAATAAATACCCCATAAATACCGTAAATATCCATTATGACATATATTTCATTCAATCACTGAAGCTCATGTACCCCCAGGGTTATATAACACAATACTATCACTGTGTAAATTCTGCCCCTCCCTAAGCTTCCTTCTGCACCGGGGTTTCTTCCTGTTAAAAGGGAGTTTTTCCTTCCCTCTGTCGCCAAGTGTTTGGCCAAAGGACATCTGATTGTTGGTGTTTTCTCTCACTTTCAATGTAAGGCAACTGTTGTGATTAGGCGCTATATGAATAGAACTGAATATAATGCACATATAAGCGTGGGAACTCTGTAAATCATCACTCTCAGTGCTGCTTCATCATATGAAAGGTCAAATAAATCGAACAAATCTGTCAATCCAAGTAAATCTGGTCAGCGTGATTGTGATTCGTTGGCTCTAAAAGGCTACAGTGCATGTTTACGTTATCCCACTGAAGTGTCTGGCATCAATATAGTAGTTTCCCTTTAAGTTGAATGGAGACGGCGCGTGCTGGTGTTTTATTGAATCATGCCATCTGGACAGGAGTTTGATTCTCAAATTTTGTTTACTACGACTCGTTGTTTTTGTGCCAGGGCACAAGCTCGAACTTGACTCGATTAACCGATTGATTGTTGTTTTGCAGTGAGATTCAGAAGGTGTCCCGCGCCGCTCAAGCTTTCTACGCAGAAAATGCTAAGGACAACGTACCTCGCAACAGAGCGTCCAAGAGCATGGACATGGGTAAGCTTCACTCCCTCACCTCCTCATCAGTGAGAAAATCTCTCGTGTTTGTACATTTTCTGAGGCAAAAACGCTGCACGAACCACATTGTTGTGCCAACCATCACAAACAGCCCAAAATCCTCTTCTAATCATGGACTCAGCCTAGAAACAGACACACGCACAATCTCGGCAGCGATCACACGCGTCTTATCAGTGCATTTCTTTGTTGTGATATGTAGCCCTCTGCTATTATCCTCCGCCTAAGGGGATTTGACCCCGTGAACTTATAAACCCCAGGGGCTTTCCAGCAAGCTCCACGAACACAGCTTCTGGTGTGTGCGTGTCTTTCCGTGCGTCCTTTGTATTTGTGTGTGAACGAAGAGGCCGAGGTTTCCAATCTCATAGCTTGCTGTGTGTGGAAGGCGAGAACGCAGAGGCTGATTTCCTCATATTAACCCGAGTTGACCCCTCATTCTCTCCCCTCTCTTTTTCTCCTCCTTTTTTTTGATATTTTTCTTTACTTTTCTTGTTGTGCTTGCATCTTCTTGGATAAGATCTTGTTTTTTTTCCCTTCCATTCCCTTCATCTTTGTTTATCTCCTTTTTCTTTTCAACACTTTGTTTCCTTACTGCAAGGCGATGAGTTCATTGCTCTCGCTCTCCTCCGTGCCTCTCTCCTTTCTTCTCTGCCTCTCTCTGATTTCCAATCCCGGTTCATTAGGTTCAGTGGATTGGCTTTCTTCCTGCAGCACACGCCTCTGCCACCCAAGCTGATTGGCTTTCATTACGGACAAGGGTGGTCTGCACACACGGCCGCGCGCACTCAGACACACACGCATACACACGCACGCTGTGCTCTATCCCACTGAGGACCCACTCCAATACCCACCTCTATCTGTCTCCGCTCTCTGGCTTCTATCTCCATCTCTGGCCATCCTCCATTTCAATCTGTTTTTTTTCTTTTTCTGTGTTATCATTCCACGTCTATTCATCCCTTCCCTCTCCAAAGTGCTCAGGGCTGAAATAAGGTAGTTAGCAGAGCTTTGTGTGTCTCTGAGTGTGCGGCAGACCTCAGATGCCAGCCCTGTCTGTACGATTTGTTGTTAAAGAGACATTTTTTTCTCCCCAGGAGAGTTTCCCACATGTCAGTCTGTATAGTCACGCGTACCTGAGCTTCAGCAGCACCTTAGAGCAGGTTAGCTTTTATTAAACACCACTTGACAGAAAGAGGTGAGCTGCTTTTATTGACCCTTGATGCCTCAGCAAATACTGTGTTGACTCAGAGCTTTCACTCACACACAGAAATCCTCAGCCTGCAAATGCTGATATGAATTGTGGGATCGCTAACTCGACAGCTGCGCCAAACTTTGAATTTTCTGACAAGCGGCGTGGGTTTGTTCCAGTGGATCACAGAATCATGAATCAGTCTTTTTCTACTGTTCCACAAATGCCCAAAAATGCCAGAAAGAATATTTTTGCTTTCAGCTATAAAAGGTAAAATATGTTTTTTTTGTTTTTTTTGAGGCAAATCTCACAGTAAGTCTCTTCCAGTCAGTTTCTTTCCTCCCACTAATGCCTTTATCAGCCTGAAAAGCTCTAGTCTGCTTTGGAAAGTAGTCTGTATGGATTGGCTTTAAGATGCTTAAAGTGCATGGAAACATCAGACCTTTTAGGACTACACCGTCTATACCGCCATTTGCAGTCTAAGTGATATCATGTGCAATGACTCTGTAAAATGTTTAAAGAAGTGTGAGTGATTTAACCAAAAGTTATCTTTCGTTAAGAGTCATTTTCCAGGCAACACCTGGGCATTGTGGGAGTATCCTGCTGAGTATCTAACCCTTTAAACCACCCATAGCAGAAACACTACATCGCCTACAGTATGTCTTATTGATCATGAGCACTAGCAAAAGTTGGACCTTTATCCTTAATCAATTGGTCTATTTTTAAAGAGCTGGCAGTGACACAGAAATTAAAGCAATGAAATAATTAGCAGGGATTTTAATGGAAGACCATATGCATAAACGAGAAAAGGTTAAAATCAAACAAGGCACACAGAATTTTTAACTGTCAGAGGCAAAAACCAAAATGAAGCTCATGCAGGAGAGCCTTTAACCCACATTCGTCCTAATTCACAGCAAAGGTTGACTCCTCTACTTGTAAAACAGAGTCAGATTATATAGAAGTCTATGTGGAGATTACCCCAACTTTCATTAATGATCTCAGTAGACGCTTTCCTGATGTGTTAATAGTCTTAATTGCTGTTTTCAACTCTGATTTAATACAGCGTGGTAGTGTTTTTGTAAATTCTGAACTTATTTAGAGACATAAATAAGAAATAAATAGAGATGCACTGTCATCCTTAGAACTGGCAGCATATGCAAACAAAAAACTCACTTTTTGTAAAATGCTGTTTTATTTTTACAATAAAATTTTAAACCTTGCAATTGTCCTCAAGCTACAGTACGTCTTCCCTCCCTTAAACAATAAAGTGTGTGTTGTTGTGTTTGCACATTTCTGTTGCTTGTGGGCTCGCACACAAGAATTTCACTCGCATGTGCTGTGCCAGTGTGCCTGCACATGCGATGTGACAATAAAAGTGATTTGATTTGATTTGATTAAAGGAGTGCTGTGCTACTGGGAAGAAGTGCAAATCATTAACTGATGATGGGTTATTATCCACGCACCTTTACCTGACATATTTTACCTGACCAAGCAGAAGCAGATGCAGCTAGTTTATTGAATAAAATAAATGTCAGGCATTTCAGAAATTTTCTAGCATGTTTATAATTTCACCAGATAACAGAACATCAACCCTTTTCACTTTTTTACTCATCTTCATAATTTTCCTCATAACTGCTTTGATCCTTTGCTCATACCGAGGCTGCTAGCTTGTGGCTAGCCCTGGACAGTGTTAGCTTTAGCTGCTTTGTCTTTGTTAGCTTCTTTAAAATATCCATGTAGAAGTGGGTGAGGGTCATTTGAGCGTATGATTGGATTTGTTGTTACAAATATTTTTGTAGTAGTCCCCCACAGCTTACAGTTGTGCTCTTCCATGGAAGGCTTAATGGTCAGTCACCGGTCCAGACTGAGATCGCTGAAAATCTGCTGATTGTGGATGATGATTGATTATTGACAGTCAGATCCATCGCTCACGTTATAAAAGCTGAGATGCTGAACTTCAGGCTTTAAAACCAGACTCTATAAACCAATGAGTTATGTTGCATATGCTACGTCCATCATTTATATACAGCTTTTGGTTTCATCATGTCTCTCAAGTTCATTCTCTTTGTGAGTCTTCTTTCCTCATTTATACATGTTTTCTTCTACACTGCTTGTTTACTTTCTCTGTTTATTTGTCCTACCATCTGCCCCTCGCGCGCTCTTTCCTGTAATTCCTGGTTTTGCTTTCTGTTTTTCCATCTCATAATCAATCCTTCATTTACTCTCTTTCAGTCACTTTTGTCCTTTGGCTCTGCTACTCCCTTTTACATTTTCCACTGACCTACTGCACTGTCTATATCCTCAAAGTATTATTCAGTGTCAGCGTACTTTACAAGAACTACCCTTACTTTGTATAGTAATGTTTCAGTAATAAAGTGACACACTAAGTTAGCAGAGTTGGGGTTAAACGTGAGATTCTTACGTTTTTAGCCTTCCTCTGTGGCAGTAGAGACCAACTTGGCTGCTGGCCACGCAGACTTTTATCTTTCCGGCACAGTGAAAGGGAAGCTTTTCATTATCTGCCAGGGTCATGAGGCCTGGAATATTTTTTTCCCGAAACTTTGAAAGTATTTAAGTTTTATTTTATCTGGCACATGTGGACAAGAAAGGTATTTTTGCTCCTTTGTCTTGGTAGCTACAGATGTCACTTTTTCAATTTCCGCTTTACTTTGACTGATTGTTTGTTTTTTCTTAAGTTTTTTTTTTTACTGTTATATTTTCCCGGCACACCCAGTCTCTGCATCTGTCTTCCTCGCTCCCTGCTGTTCCCTCTCCTATGTTATCCCTTGCTCTCACTCTTGCTCGCTCTCTCACCCTCATCTGTCCGTTGGGAAAATTGACCTCATAAAAAATGAAAAGGATTATTTAAGAGAAATGGCAGGATAATGAAAACCTATTATTGTATCCTGCGGTGGCGACCGCCGGCCGACCGCAATCCTAGTTAGATTAGGTGTTGGTGGGCGGGGGTGGGGTGTTGGTGGGAGGGCTGCTTTTCTTGGTCTTCTTTGTCCCTTTATTATTTCTCATATTGTCTCATCTCTCTGTTCTCATTTTCTCTCACAATCACAATATCTCGCTTTCTTCTGGTTTTCTTATATTTCTGCCACCTTTTCATTTCCTCCTTCAGTCTGTGTCATTTTGCCTCTCGCTCGTCCTCTTCCATCTTACGCCGGGAGTCATTTACAACATATGCCAGCACCAGTAGGCTCCAGTATAACCATTTATGAAGCAGCACGGGGCACTGGAATGACCTGCATGCTGTTTTGTGTTGTACTAGATATTGCTTGCATAATGTGTGATATTTACTGTGTCCCTCTGGCTCTTTCTTTTTTCCTAGTGGCTGATGAAAGCAACGTGGGATCACTGGTCGGGCAGAAGAACAGTGAGTGTTTGATATATTTTTCTTTGACCCACCAATCTGCCACACTTCTCTCCCTTGTTGTGTCTTTTGTCTTAACGATTCAACAAGTCCACACAGGAAAAAAATGAACCGTATGTGTGAAGATTCTTGTTATTCTCAAATATTCTTCTTTATTCTTTATTCCCTCCGCCTCCCTTTTTCTTTTTTTTCTCCCCTGGCTGACAGAGTTGAGTTGTGCAGCACTTAGCGTCTGAGCTCGTGTTGCTTTATTGCCGCCCAGGTCAGCAGGCCCGCGGTGTTCAATCCTCACCCAGCTGACAGCAGCCCCCACTCCATCACAATGAATTCTGCTCCAGTTATTTGTTCGCACTCAGTTCTGCTTTGTTTTATTTGAGAAGAGTCTGGTTAAATGTAAAAGAGAAGACTTTTTTTTCTGCTTACAGACGACACGGTGCAGTGGTGGTTCAAAGTGATGTATGTGAAGTAATCAGTGTTTGGTTTTTGTTTGTTTTGTTTTTCTGAGAAGGAGAAGAGGATATATAATATAAGCTAAAACATCAACGAACTCAAAGTCCCTTTGTGTCCAACCTCCAATCATTTTCACTGTCCAAGCCTTTATCAGGAAGTCAAACAGTGGGTGTTTGATGGCCTGCAGTTTGGTGAACAGTCTCTCGTCTGTCAGCTCTTCATATAGAAAGAAGGACGTGGTCAATTCCAAATACTGGGGTTACTAAACATGGAAGTTCAGGTGGTGTCCAGTCATGGGTGGGTAATCGGTATTGCCAGTGCATGTGGCATATTTGTGTTCTCACAATATCTTTTTGTTCTTCCAATATGAGAAAGCACCCTATAGAGGACAAATGATGTGTTACAATTGATCGTGGACTCATTTTTAGAAGAGAAATCAACAAATGTTTTGGTCTGTGCCATGTTTGTGCAAATCATTGTAGCAGTTGCACTTGTAGGACTCAGCCATGTTTGTAGAGTGTCTGGTTGGAGGTGTGTGTGTAGCAGTTTATGCTGCAGAGTGGGAGGCCTCTTAAAACTGATTGCTCATTACATACGAGAGATCTTAGAGTAAAAAGAGACTCCTTTGGAGACTCCTTGATACTAAATGTGAAGTGTTGGTCGTAGTGAACTCCTTGTATCAGGTTTTATGTTCATCATGGATTCACCGTGGTGGTCTAGCCGGCTATAATGAGAGCTTCCTTTGTGATGGTGAAATTCCTGACTTTAGGCTCTACATACCTTGCAGACTCATTGATCTCCTTTCTCAGGACTCCAGTTTCTAGAAGGCTTTTCTTTTGATGGTTTATGGTTTTTTATATTTCTGTCTGCAAAAACAACAGCTTGTGCTTTTGCAATACATACCTGCAATACACTGATTGACATGCTCAATTGAATATAACGTGCAGATATAGATGTGGCACGGCAAGAGGAGAAAAATTAATATTTGAGATGCAATCAAAAGTTCATCCACACGTGATTTTAAAAACACTTTTTTGTAGTAGTTCATATCTTTTCAGCAAACCTGTCTGATGGCTCGCGACATTACAGTAAAACTTGGCGCTGACAGTCTGACCCCGGAGGATAAATCCAGGGTGTCCAAATGCCGTCGATGTCAAAGAAAATGATGAGGTTGCTTCCGCTCATGCTTGTTACCTAAACATGGAGACTGCTGTCTGCTCTCTGGCTTGTAGCCAGAGATATTTGCTTTCTGTGCCAGTTTCAGGTCCGTGGTGAATTTGGTAAAGCAGGTGAGCCAGAACGTGTGAGGATCCAGAGCAGAGGCGACTGGAAATTGAAGCATGGATGACGACATCAGAGGTCTCCATTAGTGCGCCATTAAAGCACTACGTTAACACCCACAGCATGAGCCTCGAGTGGTGTTTGATTTTGAACACGGAATTTTTTTACTTCCTGGGAGTCTGTGGCATTCTAACAATAATGACAGGAAAGATTAGGTGCAGTGTTACTGGAGCTTTTTCTGATCACTACTGGTAAATTTCTGCTTTGTTAGATCTAACAGCTTCAGCATTTCTTCTCAGTGGCCGACTGGCAGACCCTCTGTGGTTGATCTGCACAGCTGAAGGATGAACAGAAATCAAATGTTGCTCACAGAGCGTCGTGACTCCAGCTCGGCTGCAGACGTCAGGATTTTAATTGTAGAGCTCAGCAGTGATTTGTATCGCATTTAGATTTAATGTCTTTAATATGACAGCAAGGCCCCGTATAAGAAAACCAGCATTTAAGTTATGATGTTGGGAGACATCTGGCCTCGTTGCTCCTTCTGTTCCTGCTCTCTCACACACACCGATCTCTAAAATCCACCTGCAACAGCCAGCTAAGCCTGTTGCCTGGCAGAATACAAATGGCCCGAGCATCGTTGCTGACCTCAAATCCCCCACACTCAGCATTCCCACAAGTGGCTTCACCTCCGCCCTCCTCTTCTTCTGTCTGATACCCACCCCACCCTGCCACCCACTCCCCCCACCCTGTCCTCTCCTGCTCACATTTTCCAGGCATTTCTAAGCACACATGATAGATAAAGCGATCCATTTCTTCTCTGCTGCATTCCTTTCTTCTTGTGGTTTTTTTTCTTCATCCCCCCTCCAGTTGACGTCTTAGCTAGTGCGTATTGACAGGGCTTTTGCGTGTTTTTCATTTTTGCTGATGCAGAGTATTTTGCCCAGCTTCCTGCTCCATATCTCAACCCACCCCTCCTTCCTAAATGGCCTCGGTGTTTCTTTATGAGCTTTGACATATTTCATTAGGCGGATGGTCTTAAGAGGCCTGCCTGGCTTCTTTAATCTGGCTAAAACCCTCTTTCTCTCTGGCTGAAGCTGCCGCGAGGTGCGTTTCACTCCTCTAACTCTTTCTTTCCTCTCTCTCCATCTTTCTCTCTGTCACTTACTCAAGCTGTCCCCTCTCTCTCTCTCTCTCTCTGTCTTGATTCTCCAGTCGTTCGAGTCTCAATCTTCAGAGCTTTAAGTCTCATTTCTTTCTTTTTTTCCGCTTTCATCTTTGCAACCACTCGTCCTTTCCTACTTCTTCCCAATCGCCTTTTTCTCGCTCTTTGTCACCAGACTCATCCCCATTTTTAGTCTGCTCTCAATCCCAAAACTTCATCTCCTTCTCTCTCTCTCTCTCTCCGCCTTTCTTTCCCTCTTTCTCTCTTCACGATCAATTTCATTCCCTTTCTCTCAACAGGCTGATCCTTTTTTTAGTAACTCGCCTTCTGTAATCTGTGGTTCTCCCTCTCCCGCTGTCTCTTTCCTCGCTCAGCTGCAGCTGTATCTGTTCCAGCTTCATGTGATTATGCTGAACATGCTCCAGTCTTGGAGTTTCCTCTACCGACTCAGACCCAGTCGTCTCGGTGTGTGTTGTGTTTGCGTGTACGTGCATGTGAACACCCCACCAAGACACTCCCAGCAGTGCTGGACAGATATCGCTCCATTCATCCCTTTATTTCTCTTCCTTAGAGTGTCTCCCTGGCAGCAGGCTACTTTACCCCTTACAACACACCTGGGATCTCATCCAGCCCAGCAGCACTGTACCTCCGCTCACTTTTGCAGTAATTTTGTATGCTTTTTCTGCCTTTTCCAAGCTTCTCTAAGTGTGTATTGTTTTTGTTTTGCTTTAAACGATCACCTTGAAAACCCTCACTCAGACTCATTCGTTGTTGTTTGGATGTTTAGAGCTAAATGGCTAACAGCTAACCCTGCAGCAGTGCCACCAGTGAGATCACTCTGTGTGCCCATTAGTCCCTGTTGTTTCTTTCCTGCACAATGAGGCATCAGAAAGCTAGCCAGCATCCTGCCAGCGCTGAAGCCTTTGCTTTTTCCCCCCTGACAGTATTTGTTTGGGCGCTGTGTAATTCAGCTTTTTTTCTGCTGTTTGTGCTCTCTTTCCTTCTTTTACTTGCTATATCATAAGGACTGTTTGTATGCGCTCCCGCAACTCTGCCTTTGGGGAAAAAACTAAACAAACTCTTCTTTCTTTAAACTTGACCACTATCCTCTTCAAGTTGGTGCTTCGTCTTCTGCACCTCAGGCCTCAGTCCATTGATCCTATTTGATTTGGATGAATTCCTGAAAGGCCGGCACATCGGTGACCTGCGCTGGACGTTTTTTGGTGTAGTAAAAGGGCTACCTTTCAACTTTATTTTTGAAGACAAAAAGGTCGCCAGGTGGTAAATCTAGTCAGTAGGTCAGGCGCTCAGATAGTGTTTGTGTGGCCAAAAAAGGAAGGTTTAATGGTTTGTGCTGTCCTCACTTAAAGACTCCACTGGTTCAACTGAGCTGTTGCACAACCTTAAACGCTTCCACAGAGCGAGCTACAGATCGGAGCCACACTGGTAGCCTTCAGGTCTAATGTGTGTCTGGTGGCCATCAAGGGCGGGGGCACTGGCGGTTTGATCCCCGGCTGGTGAGGCTATCTATGCGGATATGGAATGTCAGGTGAACTAGCGTGAGAGTATATTCGGGCTCTGGAACCAGTCTCCTGCAGACAGGATGGACTCTGTTCCAGTCTGGAGTTTCCCTCTGTGAGAGGCGGCAGGCAGGGGTGGGTGTTTTGTATCCCTTGGACTTTCTGCCTTATATGTTGGGGCTTTTCCCAGTGGACGAGGGGGTTGTTTCTCTGTGTCTTCCGGGAAAGGGTCCGAGCTCTCCAGAGTTGAACAAAGAGCTGACCTTGAGATTGATAATGGCTCAGTTTAAATCAGGTTTGGGTTACAGCAGCGATGTGTTTATGTTTAATCTTGTGTCAGACTGTAAGAAACTGGCATTTAAATAGAAAAATTTACACAAGCCCCTCCCACCCCAACACCCATGCCTTTTCCTTGATTATTGAAGCACTTTTTGTAGCAGTTTAGCTTAAAACTGTTTTTACAAAGTAATAGAAAAAGGCTAATAGGTACTTCCAGCATATTTACAATGTGGTAGAAAATACTCTTTTGGCCTCTATGGATACTTTCCCCTTTAAAAATTAACTAAATAAAAGTGTTAGGGGTGTGGCCA